ACAAATATATATAAATAAATATTAATCGTTTATAAATGTGGAAAACTAATGGAATGTTGCTATTGAAATCGGTTTCAGTGGAAAATTTGAACGAAGAATACAGTGATCATAATTGTATTGAGTATAGCCAAGAAAATAAATGAAATTTTTGAGCTAGAGATACACCCGATCTAGAGGTTTTTTTTCTTATTGTGAACAAAAGTCAACAGATTTTTATAGTATCAGTATTTCAGCCAATGAATGTTTCATTGGAATTTTACTATCCTTATGTATTGATGTTTCATATCAGAGACTGTCTCAAGACGCTTTACAAAAAAAAACGTCTAACCCATGATAATCAATGTTTCATATATCTACTATTTAATATCTTAATAATCTTACTAAACAATTGAAAAAATATATATATTTAAAGTTCGTTGAATGAGCTATGTTTCTTTGAAATTCTACAAAAACAATTACCTGCAATGGTAATAACCGAAATGCTAACACCTTTTTCTCTTGCACGTTCGGTTACTAAATAAAAACACCAAAAAAAAAACATCATACAAATAATAATAAAAAGATCGAATATTACATTCAGCATAAAATCGATTTCCTTGGGCAAGTGCTTCCATTTTAAGAGCTTCATCAACTTTCTCATCTTGTGCCGTTTCTAAACTTCCTAAACCACGATTAGCTAAGCCTATAATAATAAATTATAATTGAATAGAATAAAAAAAAAGTCAATATTATCAAAATTTATTACCATCAGTACAAATAACAATTTTTGATCCTTGTCGTTGTGATACAATATTAAGTGCAAACATAACAGCTGGGCCAAGTGCTGTTTGACCACCTTCTTCAAGATCATAAACACGTTCTGTAAGATTTGTTTTTGTTTGTGAAATAGGTTTTAATTCTTTATTTAGTTCACGTTCAGCTTCACGTATTAAATCATCAGCACTATTTAATTTATCACCACGTATAACTAATGGTTCATCTCTTGTACCATCACCTAAAATTCATTTAAATAAAAATTCAACCAAAAAAAAAACAAAATATTACAAACTAACCATAATAAGTTATTTCATGATTAAATGTTAATAAAGCTGCACGTCGTGTTGGTGTTTCTTTAACAAGTTTATCCAAATTAGCATCGACTGCCATTTGTACTCCTTGTAAACGTGAAACATATGTTTGATTACGTTGTCGAATCATACGTGCACCTTCAAAATTAGCAGCAGCACGTTCTTGTTGTCGAAGTGCATTTGGTAAATTAAATGTTCCTTGTACCAATGTTGTTGATGACATTGAACCACTAATATCAATTAAAAAAATGACAATTGAATCATCAACACCAGTCATATCTGAACCATGAACAACAGGTGCTGGTGAAATTAAATATGTTGCATCTTCATTTTTAGGTAAATCCGTTTGTTCAATATCAACTGTATTTAATTTTGGACAAAATTCACATTGCCATTTTGATTCTTGATCTTCTTCAGTTTGAATTTTACTTAAATGTGATGCAATAGCGCCACAATCAACACAATAAACTGGATCACCGGCATGCATTTCACCTAAATAATTCAATTAAGTTTTAATTATTATTGTACAAAAAACAAAAAAAAAACAAGACAATGTGTTTTAATTACCAGGTTGTAGTAATCGATCAAATTTTACATTAAGTACATTTGTATCAGCTTTTCGTAAACGTTTTTTACGTTTATGAACAGTCGAAGATGCAGCGCCAGCTCCAGCAGCAACACTAGGAACAGCTAATCCTCTTTCAGAGGCTGCCTCACTAAAATATAAAAAAAATTTTATTTAATTGATTGTCTTTTTCTTTTTATATAATAATATTCACCGATTTGAACTTTCTGCTACACTAAATAAGTTGTCATTATTGATGGTATCAGCTTCCTCATCATCAGATATTGATTCGTCCGATGAATGTTCATATTTATAAACGTATTTAGATCCAAAATACATGATTAATATCTAAAATTAAAGTATTTTAAAAATTTTCTGTAAATCATAATAAACACATTGTTATTTTTACAGCAGAATGTACTTGCGCACCCCACTAAAAAAAATAAAATGTAACTATAGAGGACTGAAGAAAAAAAGATGATAAAAGTAGTTGTTTTTTTTTTGCTCTAATTTTCTGGTGATGGCGCAAGTTTGATGATTCATCAAAAATATTGCATGACATCGGCGAAAGAAAAAAACAAGTCAACATTTACTCATTCTCTCGTTGATGATAAAGTGGGGAAAAAATGCAATAATAAAAGTTATTATTATTCATCATGAACTACAAAAAGATTATTTTCGATTAGGAAGAGTTTGAAGTTATCAAGGGTTAATAGTAGACCAATTTCGACAAGTAGATGATCTATCAATATCTTTCTTGTCACTGACAATCTTTGAAAGATACAATAATAATTATAATATTAATGCTCGTTTTAGTTATGTATTTACTTTCATAGGATATTTCTTTGAAAGTGTCAGATTTTTTTTTTTTATTCCATTTATGAGTTTTCTATTAAATGTTGATAAGAACAAGATGTAGAGCTGCAATCTTCACCATTACAAAGAGAACATCCAGACGTCATAAATAGGTGCTGAAGCTTGGTTGGTCAGCGCTGGATCAATCAGATTAAGTTTGGTAGACATTTTAAAAACGATATTCTAGACTACAACATTATTAGCTTATTCTGTTCAAGAGTTATAAGGGTTTTCTTGAGACCTCCACAATTTCAGTCACTTAGCCTGGAATCATTCGGAAAAGTATCTAACTAGGAATAATTCGTCATGCTGAGTCGAATGGCGATATTTGTTTTTGGATTCGACAGGATCTGACACTGTTATTTTAGTATTTCCAACGTTTCATAATCTGCCATTGTGTAGCATAATAAGTCTACATATCACAAATGTTGAGATAACAGCGTCAGATCATTTCGAATCCAAAAATAAATATCCCCATTCGACTTAGCATGGCGAATTATCCCTAGTTAGATACTTTTCCGAATGATCCCAGGCTAATTGACTGAAATTGTGGAGGTCTCAAGAAAACTCTTATAGCTCTGAACCATAACAAGTTAACAATATCAACCTTACATAGATCGAAAGAGAACAGTTTTTCCTCTCAATCGATCATATTAACAATCAAGATCAATTAAAAATGGGTTCAAAATATTGTTTTTAAAATGTCCACTAAGAATTAATCTAATTTGATCCAGAGCTAATCAATCAAAGTTCACAACATCTGTGTGTTCTCTTTATAATAGTAAAAATTGCAAGTCTCTATCTTGTTCCTATCAAAATTTATTCAAAAAATATCCACGGTTGTTCTTTCTTGACATGGATAATAGTTATATTGATATATTTGCCAGTTTTGGCTGATCTGCGGACAGCTGGCCATCAACGGATTGCTATTCATTAGTGAGAGAAAGATTGATTTCTTGAGTACGGATACCGGTCGCTTGATTTTCTTCCAAATAATGTTGGAATTTGTACTGCTCAATACAACATTGAACACTGTATTGTGTTAAAAAGCACATATTGTAATCGCAGTCATCATAGAAAACGTTATCTCTGTTGATTGATACTCAAAAAGAAATTAGCTTTGGCGAGTCTGAATGTTCGCTCATTTTTGACTAGAATATTTGTAGAATTCAATTTCATACATAATGCCTTATATTCATGTTTTTGTGTATTAATCCATTAGATTGTCATCTCTTGATCATTGATCAGTAAATAATACGAAATTAATGTGCTCGTACGATATATACTTTATTTGTCGAAAAATCACAGACTATATACGTATAAGACAATGGATTATCCCCTATTGGGAAACTATTCATCGGATAATCAAGATTGAATGATGTGAAGTATCTCACAACATGGATGTACCATTTTCAAGACTAATTCCAACCAACTCAAAGAATCGGGATTGGTGCATCATTAAACGGAAAGTACCATTTAAAGGAAAAGACCAAACATATGTAATAGACAGGAAGGGAAAAAAACCAACCATATATGACGTGTATATGACTGGAGAAACACTAAGAGAGTAAAAGGAAAGTATGAATAAACAATAACAAAAACACATATGCAACAAGAACGGTACTCGATCTGTGTGAACTACTACGAGCAGCTATTCGAGATCGTACAATTTTTTTTGTTGATTAAATAACTTCTAAAAAAATATTTATTTTCTATTTATGAAAAAAAAAACAAATGATTTTACATCATTTACATATATTACTGATGCATTCAATGTTCTTATTTCTTAATAGAAACAGACCAAAAGATCTATAACTTTCCCAGTAAACTATTCTGGTTAAAGCTTGTCTCTATGCAAATTTTCAAGTTGAAAATCGAAAATCAGTTTTCCTGGTGTTCCTGAGAGAGAGTCACTCCATTCTGATAAAAATAATCATAAGAATGCAGTACGCCTACAACAACAAACGAAGAACTCGAATCATTCTCAAAATATTCATAAATTCTTTGATGCCTAGATGATGCACATAGTCTCAACATAAAAGCGATTAATTAGTTGTTTAATAATGAAACAATCTGTGTCTTAATCACAATTATCATAGATGACTTATTTGGAAAATCCTAAACAAAATATAAAAACACTGCTCAAACTTCATACAAATCGTTCAATAATAGCAAAGAATTGTTTTCTGCAAATCTTTATATAACTAATTAAGAGAATAAAAAAAACCTTCTTTTAAGAAATGATTAGATAATTTTCAAATAAATCCTTTTTATTGTTTCAGTTATATATATATTTATATACATATTTAAAGAACAATGAGATTTACAAATATTTTTTACAGCACCATCCTAAATGGACTATATGGTTAGATTTTTTATTGCTTGAAAACAAAGAACAAAAGAAAATAGTCAGTCAAACAACAAGACTACACATGCGTATGTGAAAAAAGTATTAAAAAAAGGAAAAACAAAAGAAATGTTGAAATGAAAAAATATTTCGTCTAAATAAATAATTAATTTGTTATGTTCGTTGAATCAGTTAATAAATATTGTTTTGCAAATTGATTTAATTCATGGTCAATTTTATCGATTTGTTTCGTAAGTTTTTTTCCTTTATCAATATAAGATTTTAAATGATTAATTTCATTTTTGATTTCTTGTATATTATCTAATATATCATCTTTTTCCATAGCAACATAATGTATTGTTTGTGCAAAATACATTGATAATTCTTGATGAACTTGTGCACTTGCATTACCTGATGTTAAATCAACAATTAATTTCATTTTTGCTGATATATAATCAGCATATTGACGTTTAAATGCACGTTCTTGTGCTTTTTTTGTCCACATTAATCTTTCATAAAGATACAAACTACCATAAATACTACCAATAATAGCAACCATTTTCCATCCAATACTACGCCATATTAATGCTGATATACCTAATGTAACTAAACTAGATTTTGATGTTGTAAATAAATCATTTGAAGAATTTAATAATGATGAAGATATATAGTTTGTTGATTTATTTTGATTTTGAACAAAATTTTCCCATAATGATGTTAAACCTAATGAAAATTTAAATTGTATATCTTCATGAAAATCTGAACAAAGATTTGAACAATCCAAACGATATGATATAGCAAAATCAGAACGTGGTATTATTGAATCAACAAATAATTTACGTTCATTTGTTAATAATATTGATTTAATACGTTCTTTTATTTCACTATGAACAATATCTAATGAATTATATAATGTTGTATGAAGACGATTTTGTAAATTTGTACCAAGTTGTTGTTCAACCCAACGATGTAAATCTTGTTTATAGAGTGGAATTTGATTATAATCAGATGAAAATGGACGATCAAATTCTTCAATTAATGTATAAAGACTAGAAAAGGTAAAAACGAATAAACTAATTTGATTTGTATTCATTTGAATGACAACTCAAAAACTCTTGTTTTTTTGAATTATTTCAACTAAAAAATGCTTTAGTTTCTTTTTTATTGGTGTTTAGGAATAATCTATGTTGAAATTTGTTTAAAAAAATAAAGAGAACTATAATTTTCAAATTTGATTCTAATTAAATTTCTTACATTTTAACTCTATTTTCTCGATATTTCATGACGAATTTTTATCTTTAATTATGAACATTCATCGATATAATACTATGATTTTAATTTTGTAAGATATTATCATTAATGAAACTCTAAAAAAAAATTAGTCCTAGAAGTTATTAACCAGTTTTATATATAGATATGGTCTCATATTACTTAACAACATAACATATGTGTCTAAGAAAACTTCTTAATCTTCTGCTCGACAATACCTGACAATTGTGTACACTCACATAACCAACCTTAAGGTTAATGTTTCTAAGCTGTTATTTATTTGTAGATATAAACATGAAAAACATTGCGATCATATTCTTGACTGCTTGATATGTCTAAGAATAACTGATATAATTAAAAGTAGAGAAGATTGTTTTGATAAGCATAAGAAGACGTTCATCTCCGTTTTCATTCATTCATATATCATTCAATAGATTATATTGAAGTAAGACAAAGTCTTAAAGATTTTGAGCCTATGACCTACTATGAAAAAGTTATGACCGTTTTACTGAAATTTTGTCTATAAATAGATTTAACACTTATACTATCAACCAGGATCATTTTAGATCCTGATCTTAGAAAATAAGAAAATAAAAGGGAAATATTTTTTTGTTTATTTCTCAGGTTAGAATAGTGAATAGCATCTTTAAAAAATTACTATATCGATAATGTATACTAGTTGTTTTATCTAAACTAGGCTTAGCAGTACAAGTATTAAGAAAGAAATGAACTTACCGTTTAATTTCATCATTTAAAGTTTGTGCAACTCTTTGATAAACATCTTCTGATACATATCGAATTTTTTCTTTAGCTAATTCTGTTATTAAAATTAATTCACGTTCAAGAAAATTATTTCTATCTTCCGTTTCAATTAATTTTTCACTAGATTCTTGTTTTATTGTTTGTGATTTATTAATTATATTAGTTATTGTTTCACATAATAATATAAGAATTTCTTTTCCACGATTTGTATGTTGTTCAAATTTTGTTTTTACAGCTGTTTTTGATATACATTTTTCAAATTCATGTTCAAATTTATTAAATTCAATAAGACGTTCTTTATATGCTAGAATAAGAAAAAAAAAATTCAATAATTAAATTTGAAATAAATAATTTAATAAAAACCTTTATTAAATCCACTTTTTGATAAAGTACTTATATTCACATTTCGATTTAATAAAGCTTCACGTGCTGAAATAAAAAACATTCGATGTTCAGCAGCTTCTTTTCGTTGACATAGATTTAATTCATCACATAGAAATTCTAAACCTCGATCAAGATGTTGTTGTTTCACCTAGATTATGACAGCAAAAAAAATGAAGCACAAAATCTCTCAAAAACAAGGGAAAATATTCATTTACCAATTCAACCATTTCAGGTTCATTATCTATTGCATCCCAACGATTCATTAAAATAAATATATTTGGATTTGATAAACGTTCAGCAACATGATGTAGAAATTTCTTTTCCTTAAATTTTTATTTATTTTTTTAACTGAAATAATTACATTCAAACTTACTGCTCCTGCAATCGTTGCTTCAGCTGATATAACAAGTACAAATACATCAGCATCTAAACAATATTTTTCAATCCATTCATCAAGATTAACTGAAACATCGATGCCAGGACTAAAAACAAAACCATGTTTAATGAGCACATTATATGGAATAAAATTTCTATCAATTTTCTACTAACAAAAGAATCTCCTCAGATGTTCTCTTCCGATTTCAATGATTTTTTTGTGTCTATAGATACTACATAGTGTTCTAATAAAAACCTTAATATGAGTTGCGTTTGTATTAAAATTTAACTAAGCTATCGATTGTTTTTCAAGGAAACTCCTGATTTTCGGAAAAGTTGTTTCATTGAATAATCATATCAGATAATTTTTGAAAATGATCCTAATCTATGTATAGTTTGAAGATAAGGATATTAAATCTTTGGTAATATTGAGCAAAAGAATTTTTGACCGAATCGAATCAAAACTTATTTGAAATATCAAAATATACGCTCTTACTAAAATCAGTATCGTATTCAGTGCAGAGGCTGAGAGGACAATAGCCCTTGGCAAGAGAAAATCTGGATAATACACGGATCAGAGCTCTCTATCGACCGTTGTATTTGTGCGAAACTTTGATTGCGGACATTTTCTATTGATCAATCGAATAGAAAATGCTCGCCGTTCTATAGAGCCAATACAACATCTACTATATGAGAGAACAAAGATAGAAAATATCTACTACATTCATATGTATCTAAAGATATTTTTACTTGATGTTGAAATTCGTAACTTTCTTCTGACTTGATAGATGTAAAGTTTTTACAATTGCACTTTCACGAACAATGATTAAAACATTACACAATTTATGTATACAAATATGTATTTGAGTTTCGGTTTTATATTTTTGTTTTAGTTCAAGAAGATAATTTTTGACCATTTATTCATCAAACTTTGTCTCTGTTATAAAAGAAGTGATATCTTCTCATAAATTGAGTTATATAGACTGATCATCTTACGATATCTATTAAGAAAAAATGTTTGCAATTAAGAGAACACAGTATTTGTGACTTGTATACTCAGAAACATGTTTAGCTGATTAAACATAGAGTACAATGTGTCTTTCGTATACAGTACTGATGAAATAAGAATAAGTACAGATCTTGTTTTGATTCTACAATGCAGACAGTTATGTCTCTTCCATCGAATCTGATTTGCAACTATTTCTTCTTATTGACAAAAATAAACCTAGCAGTGTCTGTAATCAAAATGTAACCAATGATTCTTTTCATATTCATTCCTTTAAATCGGATATTTAAAACTTACAAAACTTATTTAAATGAAATATTCATTGAATATTACCTGTCGACTAGAATCACATCATCTCGAATAAGACGGCATTTTTCTTTTGGCCATAAAATTTTTACAAGAGAATCTGAATCAAGTTTTTCTCTTGATAAAGCATTACCAATACTACTTAAATTCTAAAAAGAAAAAACAACATACATGATAACAGATTACATATATTCTAGGCAAAATTTTAAACTTAGACAGAATTTATTTGTAATTAGGCACAAACCTACGAAATAATTTTCGTTTGTACTAAGAAAACATCGTATGTGTCTGTTATCTTTTACTAAATAGAGTGTTCATTTTCACTGATTTATATATGGTGATGTATGCACCAATGACTTCTTCTACGTTGACATTGGAAAATAAGTTTTGAAAGTATTTTTTTGTTGAACAAGCGAAGTAATATTTTAAATTTTTGAAGTATTTAATCTCGAGAAAAACCAATCATTATTCTACCATAGGGATGATATAAGCTAAAAGATCCTTCATTTTTTGGGTAGAAAAATAACCCTAGATGTCTGAAAAATCCAGTTTTCTGACATTCAACTGGAGCTTTTTGGACATAGTTTTATTTAATAGAGCACAATGATATGTTTCACGTCTCTTCATCGAACTGCATTCGATTTATAGAAGGTCTCAAAGTATCAATCACAGCAAAATCATTGAAATTTTTCATAAAAACAAAAGAAAAATGTCTCTTGCGTCTTTTGTAAATCGAATGTAGTTCGATGAAGAAAGGTGAAACATCTCATTTTGCTCTATCAAACAAAACTATTTCCAAAAAGGTTCAAAGAAAACTAGTGTTGGTGGTCTTGGCTTTCTAGAGATCGTCATCCAAACAGTTTTATTGGATCTTTTAACCCCCTCAATTCTGATAGAGGATTCTTTGTAGCTATTATCATCGAGAAGAAAACGAAAAAATACAATTGTTCTAAACCTTTGTGTGTCATTATACTTTACATGAATCACGTTAAATTAACTTCGATAAAAAATAACTACTCAAAAAGCATAAGCTTAAAGTGCAACTGTACAAGATTACCCTACCCTAACTTGTAGCGTAGGGTAAGAATTAGAAAATTTTTCTCAGTTATGGCACAGGATACGCAAAAAGCTTACTCTGAACATCTCTAACTTAAAAATCCTTTCTTTTCCTTTTGGTCGGAGCTTACTAAGACAAATAAGATTTCAATTGAGAATACTTGCGACCTCTACAACTTCCTAGTTTTAATTACACTTAAATTAAAGTTGAACATAACTTAATATAAATATATAGGACAGTTCTTTTCTTTATTCTCATTTTTGTTTAATTTCTAAAAACTCTGTTTAAATCTCAACTTTGCCTGGCATATATGTATATATGTCCTTACATTTATACTTTTTAGTTCGTCAGATCCTGGTATAAGAACTGATGGTTCATTTTTATCTGTTCCTTCGATCTAAAAAAAACCAAAAAAAAGATTTAGTTTCTGAATCAAATAAATAATTTCAAAATTCAATTCTACTTGAAGAAAACAATTTGTTGTATGTCCCATACCAATTGGTAATATTTTTTCTCTTAACATTGCATTCATAACTGTACTCTTTCCATTACTTGTTCTAAAAGAAAACTATTTATTTAGGAAAAAAAAAATAAAAATTTGAATTAATTAACCTTCCAAAAAAAACAACTTTCATATGATCACGTGATATAATTGATAATATCCGACTAACTCTTTCTTTTAATTGTTGTATTTCTTTATATTTATCATTAGTTATTAAATTTCGATCAGATTTTATTACATCTACATAAGCATAAAATAAATCCTAGATTTATATTCAAATAATAATAAACAAACCATTAAGATATGTATTTGAATCATTGACATATGATGCAATATTTTTAAAAATGTCAGTTATCGTTATTTTTGCATGAGTAAATAATTTCAATGGAGAATGACCATCTAAATAAATACACAATAATAAATAATTATATTATAGTTTAATTTTATTATTATTATTTTTTTTTTTTTTACTAAATATATTATTCTGACGAATTGATCCAAATGCCGTCGGTTTTTCACGTATCATACTGTCGGACATTATTATTTATCTAAAACAATTAAAATAAAAGAAAAATATTGATAAATAGTTTTACTATCTATTGTTCTCGTTAATGACATATTAAAATGAATATCGTCTCTTTTCTTGATTAAATCTCGAGAGTAAGATGCTAAATTTTTCTTGTATTAGAAGAAAAATTATTATACAATTTTTTTTATGAATATTTTTATCTAATATAAAACTAATAACTATTTTATTTTTCTTCATATAAAAGGGAGCAAAGGTCAATATGTTCGAAAATGAAACAGTAATTAATATATAAATACGTAAAGTACGGTTGATCATTAATTTAGACTTTGAAATTCAATCATTTTGCCATTCGACGTTTTCTATCCAACTAAGATAACATGTAAGAGGGCGCTCATGTATCGTTGACCACAACATAAGATTCAACTGCTGACGGTCACGAGGATACTTTTGGAAATCAAAATATCTTAAAATAATGAACAGGACACTGGAAAAGTTTTTTTCGTTCAGCTCTCGTGAAAACCATGGTTTAAATGCAAGTATTCTCTTGTAATGCTTAGAAAGGAACGTTTTCAATTGAAAAATTGCTTTATCATCAAAGACTATTGGATATGAATTATCGACTATGCTGATCTGAGAAATTTCCTTGGATCTCGAAATGCTGATTTTTCTAGGAAACTGGTTTTTCAGCCTAAGAAATATTTCTCCAAAATTGTATTTGATTTATTCAGATTGTTGAATGTATCGAGTTGTGTGCAAGTTAAAAATCTTTTCTATTTTTTCGAAAATGAATTTTAAATAAAATAATATCATCTTGAAGGTTTTAACATTGAAATATTAATATGTATTTGTTGCAGGAATTAAAATAGTTGTATTTACTTTAAGCAGAAAAACGATTTGACACCGAAAAATAATCTGAACAGTTCAAAAAATATTTTTGATGAAAAGTTTTTTAGTTTGGAAAATCGGTAAAGACTTAAGAAGACTTTTCATGGTCATATTTGAAATTAGGATAGTCGATAATCTATAATTCAGTAGCTTTTGTTGTACTACGAAGGCTTAGCCCCGCCTTCACCTTACAAACAATTGAGTCCTACATAAAAAGTAGCTTAAATATCTTGTGAATGCATTACCAGAAGAAGCCTCCATCTCTTCTGTAGACATGATCAGTGAACTGAGCCTAATCTCTCCTCCCCCATAGCAACTTTTTTTTTGTTTACGCCATTCAATATTCACTGGTGAATTAGTCTTTCTTTTACATAGAATACTTTTTCTGCCTAATGATCTTGAGAGAACATAATCCTTTGTCGTATTGTAATAATCCATTGATCTAAACATACCCTTATTGTGAATTAATCAATACAAACTTTAATAGAGATACGATTATTAATATTATTACTTTGTGAGGATGTACAATAAAAAAGATTAAATGTAAATTAAAATAATTAGAAATGGAATTAAACTTTCTATATAAAACTAAATCAGCTAATTCTTAAATAAATTCACGACAAGGTATCAATAGGGTATGCTGTTTAACTCTTTCGAATGAATATTACATGCGTTATCTCATCTACTTATCTGTGTCGTGAAGAAAGTGTTTACTCTACATTAAACTGTCATGATCTGTAAGACCATAAAAGTCATAGTAGTCGGATACTCGATAAGGTATCCAGCTATCATTAGGTTCTAGAACCTTGTTCAGATATCCGCAGTGAATATTTGTATATTTCCAAGTGTCTTGTACTAAAAAATATTTTCATAGATTAGTCCGTTGCACATCCAGAAGTATTATTTGATCCAAAATAAAAGGCAGGTTACCATTTTTCAAATAACTTTTGATAGGAATGAGATAGAGAACCTCAATTTTCATCATTCGAAAGAGCGACATCCAGACCATCAATCGGTATAGAACTCACTAAGATGAAAGATGCTTTGTTTTTATAGGTACCTTTGGATCAACACTTTTGTCTATGAGTATTTTCATAATAATCTCAACTTATATTATGTCAAAATATAGCTTAAACCACCCTTTTTTCGCAATCAAATTATCGCATATTCCATTATCTCTCAACCTTTTATTCTGAACGGATTTAAAAAAAACTAAATGTTAATTTTATAGCGAAAAAAGGGTAATTTGAGCTACATTTTGACATAGTTTGAGTTGAGATTATTGTGAAAACACTCATAGGAAAAAGTGTTGATCTAAAGGTCCCTATAAAAAAAAGCATCTTTCATCTTAGTGAGTTCTATACCGATCGATGATCCGGATATTGCTCTTTCGAATGGTGAAAATCGTAGCTCTCTATCTCATTCCTATCAAAAGTTATTCGAAAAATGGTAACCTGCCTTTTATTTTGGATCGGATAATAGTAGCAGGATACTTCAAAGACTAGAAAAAGTATTCTAAACTTAGTATCATTTCAAAATAATATTATATCTTCCTTTATTAATTAAACACAATATATATATATATATATATAATACAATAGCTGACATTTCAAAGGCAACATGTTCATCTTCATAATGAAAAATTGATCTTGAACACAATAAATGTAAAAAGGAACTTTCTTCTTGTAATTATTGCCTATTATATTCACATTTCTTCATTGTTGTTCTTCTTCATTATTTTTCTTTCTTCTTTTGAAGTCTAGTTAATAGTAGTGTAGTCAAGACGGTAATAATAGTGTGTGAAAGGTCGACTGTCTTCATCCGTACCAGTATTAAATAGACTTTAAAAGAAGAAAGAAAAACAACGAAGAAGAAGAACAATGAAAAAATGTGAATATAATAGACAATAACTAGAAGACGATAGTTCATTTCTATGTTTATTATGTTTAAGTACAATTCTTCACTCCGAAGAAGAGCGTTTTACGTTCGGAATGTCAGCTATTGTATTATATATATATATATATATATATATTGTATTTAATTAATAAAAAAAGAAATAATATTATTTTGAAATGATTGATACAATCTTCCTCGATCGTAATGAACTAAACTCAGTACATTCCTAGGATATTTTTTCTTTCTTTCTTCCAATTATAAGGCTTTAATGTCATCATTTTGATCTAAATATAATAAATTGGTTGAACAATTGTTTTTTTCTTTTTATTAAAAAATAATTCCGCCTACAAAGTGTTTAATACTCTCGCTTGCGCTTATTTGTATTTTAAACTTTTCCTATGATGAATTTTTAATTTTAAATAAAAGTTTTTAATATAATTCAAACTTCTTTCATACATAAATATAACTTTGATATTCACTCAAGCAAATCTATAATCATCTGACTTAATTTAACGATTAATTGTACTGATTATAATTAGTTTTTATTTTATGTATAATTGAATTTTATTATGCAAATGATCGTGCAATATTTTGTTGAGCTGCTAACAATTAGAATACAAATAGAAGATTATTTTCATATGACTCAATATCCAAGAAATCTTAGGAATTAATTATGACACATTGAATTATATTTTATCAAAGGATAATTTAAAATTCAATAGACTATTGACTGATGTTTTTTTTTAAAATTGATATCATGCTTTTTTGTTTTCTTAAATTGAAATAAAATATAAGAGTTAGAGATAAAAAGAGACGAGAAAAAAGCAAATATCAATTGGAAATTCTTTGTTTATTGGAAGAATCTTCTATTTGTGAATATATGTATATATATATATGTTTGTTCTTAGTTTTTCTAATCACATGGGAAGATTTCGTTTGCTTCGATAGCGTGCTATTGGCGATGGTCGAGGTCGGTGTACATGATAATCATAACCATTAATATAATATCGACCTTCAGCATCTAACATACGATGTGGATTTGATAGACTGTTTGCCCAAAGTAAATTATGAAATGCACGTTTGCCAATACGTGGAAAAAAGACACTACGTTGTTCAAGCAATCTTAATTCATTATCATTATTGTTATGTTCATCATAATTTTCTTCACTACTAGTACTTGTATTAGCATCAAAAAGAGAAGAAATTTCTTCACTAGTTAATGATGAACGACCAATACGTGGAAATTTTGTTGTACGAATATACCGATCATAATATGCAGGTAAATTTAATCCGAGTTGTTGATCAATTTGATTATTTGTTAATTCATTTGAATCAACAACATAAGCGCACTAGATAATATATATATATTTATATGTATATATAACATAATTAATATGAATTAAAATACAAAAATTAACTTACAGATGATTTAAGGAAGATTATCATTAAAATATAGAGACAACTCATATTTATTGTTGTTGAGGATGATAATGGAATGAACATGATAGATTGTCAAAAAAAAATATATATATATTAATAATTAAAGATTTTATCTAGTAAAAGATATACAGTCGATGCAATTCTAGAATGAATCGTCTTTTATATAGATTCAAAAGTAGTTATGGAAATGAGATTTAGTCAAGAATACTAAAAAAAAATGTGTGGGAGGAAATGATAGGCGATATAAACATTGATGACGACGAAGAAAAAAAAAAGAAGAGAAGAGAATAGATGTATTGTTTTCTATTTTTTTTGAACAAATAAGAGAAAGCGAGAAAGAACTGTCTTTGAAATCGGAAAGGCAATCAATCGAGGACTATTCATTGTTAGTTCGATCGGAAATATGGGCGCACATACTTTGTTCAATTAACTCAATTCTAAGAAAGTTATGCTTAATGATTCTTTGCAATCGTTAATATCAATAGTTATTGTACTTACTTTTTATTGAAATACAAAAAAAATAAAATAAAATAAAATAAATATCTATCTTGTAAGATTTTAAATTAACAGAGACATAAGAATGCTTCAAAAGAAAAGTACGAGCAACATATAAAAATATACAGAAGTTTTTCAATTCTATTAAAAAATAAATAAAACATTGGTAAGAAACCAAAGAATAGAAAATAAATTTTATATATAGACATTCTTAATTATCAAAGAGAAAAGGAAAAAATAATGGAAGAATGATTGATAATGCAATTTCAAAACAAATTGAAGACAAGATAGAGTATTAGCATGATTGACAACCCATGATAATTGCTTTGCTATATTTATAAGCGAATATACTCTATGAAACTATATATGTGTATGTTTAGTACAATTCACTAATATTTTCTTTTGAATACCTTTGAACTAATGCATGCAATATCCTATATTGTAAAATTATTTCCTTCCGTTTCCATTACCTACGAATGAAATAATTTCATTTTAATTATAATTATATTAATGATTTCAATAGAATATTATTTTGAAAGTTCATTATAGCTGATCGAGGTAATGTTATTGAATAAAAAACACAAAAATTGTTATTGATAAACTTTTCCAAGGTCTTTCTTTGATTGTAGCAAATATCATTCATGGATTTTTCTGTGTATTGTTAAACGTAAAAAAAAAGAAGATTTATTTTAATATGAGCTTAGTCTTTGTATCTACGATCATTGATCTTTTATATTTTTTTTATACTCATTTTCGCTGTTTCCGATAAAAGAATATTTAAAGTTGAACAGCATTGATCCAACTTAATGACTATCAAAGTGATCCGAGACTGAAACTATGCATAGTTGCCAACATCTTGATTCATTCCAAAAAAACAAAAATTTCGTATGATGCACAGTCCATTTACTTTAAGATTCTCTCAAAAAAAGTTACTTTTTGTCAGAATGGTCGGAATTAAAGTAAATGCATAGGAAGATAGCACATGATCTGATCTTTCGTAAACGACAAAAATTCTTACTCGATCTCGTTTTTTTCCAAAAATTTTGTGATATTGAAAGAAATACAAAAAATAAACAAATAGAAAAAAAATATTCACTTTTTTTTACAATCTCATTTAATTTTTCATTTTTCCAACAGCAAGAATAAATATTTTATATTTGTGCTTTATAATTTATATTCTTGTCAATATATACAGTGGCTACCAAAATTATCCGACAAGCAGGAAAACAATTTTTTCATTGTTCATATTTTGGAAATTAGATGAGTTGAAATAATTTAAATTCTATTTTATGATACCCCATGACTAGTAGTATTTGATACAAAAAATCTGAGATCGATCTAGCAATCTATCGGGAATTCATAGAGGATATACTAAAAGTATGTCATTTTTTGATCTTCCAAAATTATCCGACAAGCTATATTTTTGATTCGTCGTACGTTGATTTCAACATGAAAATTTCTTTATAACACATCATTGGAAAGACCCAATTGTACCGCAACAAATGACTAGTTTGTATCGGATCTATCCTGTAGTGCTATGAAAAGTATAGTCATTCTAAGGTTTACCATGAGATTCCTGAGTGACATGATCATGACATATAATTTTTTTCTTCCAAATTCTTACATATTGGAATTTAGAATACATCACTAGGAAGTGCGTGTAAAACTGTATTAAACACAGTATTGAAATAAATATTTGGTGCTGAAACGTTGATTGGGAGACTTCATTACCTACCCTGAGGAGGTAGCTAACTGCTCATAATCCTCCATTTTCGTACCGAAGATGCTAATAAAAGTTCTTTAAAATAGTATAGACTTGTAGAGAATCTTTTTCTCTACAAAATCCTCACAATTTGAATTATCATTAATGATTTCTGTTTGAGGCATTAGACTTAGAAGCATTGGAAAGCTCGTCACTGAAATAGTGTTCTGTGGGTATCTATACCATGATTTCAGCTGATGGAAATTAAATCGGGAAACCTTACTTATCATGGTTAAGTCAATAAATCTTCAAACATAGAACACGACTGTGCATGAGTATTTATGGAGAACAACTTCATTCAGGGGAGTTTTAACGTACGAATTTGTAAGCAGCTTAGTTAACAGTGTGCTTGTTCATACTCATCGGGATAATGGAATCTGTAGTGTAAGCAGGGTTGCCAGATAAAAAATTTAGAAATCGGATTTTCTTATAGAAAAATTCGGAAAATTCAGGGAAATTCGGAATTTTTTTTTAATCCATTCGGAAAAAATTCTGAAGTCAATTTTTTAACATTTATGGTAACGAACTGATAGTATTTGTGTTAAAAGAATATTGTCTACATCACTCATAATTTATTTTTATACTATTTATTTATTGAGAAAAAAAGTTGAAATGTTATTTCACTATTAAAACCAATTGCTTTCTAGAAAATATAGGTTTTCGAAAAAAAAACAATATAAATTTTATATACTGTCCCATAAATCACTTGGTAATAAAAAATTTAAATATCTCCCATCAATTGCCTACCAGACAAGCTGAACTTTTGACCAGCACTAGGGACTTAAGTTTCTTTTTCATAAGAGAACCATCGACAAATACTGTTTCTAGGTAATAAGATCAACATCAAGAATGATTTTTCGCTTGCTACAAGCTAAATAAAAATGTTTCAGGATGATTCCAGAGTATTTTTTGTAAACATTTTCCCATCTATTTGTGATCTCTTACACAAAAGTAATAAGATCTCATTATAACTGAAGTGTTTACATTCTTAGATTTTCAGATTCAAAATAAAACTAGAGTGTGTGTGGATTTTGGTCTTCTCACTCATATATCCGCACCTACATCACCGCTCAGCCACACCCATCCTCGTTTCGAACTTATTATTTGTTGCTATGACTTTTAACAGATCTTGTTAAGATATTATAGATATATAAAAATTATTGCGTGGAATATTTGAATTTTTTCGGATTTTCAACTGCGTCGCAACTAATTGAATATCCATACGATTGCGATAATTGATCCATAAATGATTCATTTGACTAAATATAGATTTAACATGTGGATTACTATATGGAATAGAGAAAAAACGTAACATATAGTTGTTTAAATATTCGATGTTGCATCTTTAAGATTTATTAAATATGATCATAACTGATCAGAACGAATGTTTTCGTCAGTGTCTTTATTGTCATGTAATAATAAATCTTCATTATCACTGTCATCACATAAACGACTTCCTTCGTTGTATGCTGTTGATTATGCATTATGAGCATTTTTATTTGAAATACATGATTTTATTATTTATTCCATGTCACATGTTTATTTTTCAAATTATTGTACATAAATTTTAGTTCACAATATTCATTATATAGTTCATCTTTATTTGAATCACCAATCTTGATCAGATCAAGAACGTTCATAACATATTCCCATATGAGAAACCAAGCAGAATCGCAATCAAAAACCAATAATTTTTCATGGAAATTGCGATCTTTATCAAAATATGAATTACTATATTCAATAGTAACTTTGATGAATGATTCAAATGATTGTTGTAATTCTTCAGCTTTATTCTTATCAGAATCTTTAAATAGTTGAGTATCGTATGTGCTTTGTTGCCAAAATAATGATCATCCAGTGGTTGTTCAAATATTTTTTATTAAATCAGAAATAATTCGATAAAGGTAGACAGCTGTTATATGTTCATCTGAGTAAATTGCGAAGTAAAAAGTGAAATTCGGAAAAAAATCGGAAAAGAATCCCGATTCGGAAGAATTCGGAAATTCGGAACGCCGTCGGAAAGAAAGTCAAAATTCGGAATTTTTCCTGTCATTTCGGAAGATCTGGTAACCCTGAGTGTAAGGCGACACAATAGATCATAGTTAAAATTGTAAGGATTTTGTAGAGAAAAAGATTCTCTACAAGTCTATATTATTTTAAAAAACTTTTACTAGCATCTTCGGTACGAAAATGGAGGATTATGGGCAGTTGGCTACCTCCTCAGGGTAGGTAATGGAGTCTCCCAATCAACGTTTCAGCACCAAATATTTATTTCAATACTGTGTTTAATACAGTTTTACACGCACTTCCTCAGAGATGTCATAATATCCAAAGTCTGGGTATCGGGGAGATACTAGTCACGATATCCGTCAGAGTGGGTACCCAAAATGGATACCCTCTCGTATAAAGTTGAGGATTTTGAGTGAATTTGGTGTAACGAGATGAATACCGAAAATGGATACCCTCTCGTGTAAAGTTGAGGGTTTTGAGTGAATTTGGTGTAACGAGATGGATACCCAAAATGGGTGGGTGCGGATGTGGGGTGTGGGCGGCTGTGGGTATGGGTGTGGGTGTCGGTGTGCGTGCGGGTGTGGGGTATCGATGTGGGTGTGGGTGTAGGTGGGGTGTAGGCAGGGGGTCCCATTAGTGTTAGCATTAGCATTAATTAATGCTAATACTAATGCTTTGGCATTGATGGCATTACTGTTAATTAATGCAAGGTATTAGTATTAAATTAGCAATAATTCCTAATGCTGATGTCTCCTAGTTGTGCCTATCAGTCTGAAATTCCATGAGACGCTACTAG